AGAATGAATCCAAAAGATGCATATGAAATCTGAATGTTTGGGGAATGTAACGAGTATTCATATATTTCTGTGGATTTATCTGTTTGGCTGTAATTCACCTTCAAATTTAAAATAACGCTCGAAAAAGCAGTGTTTTCACATTTCAATGATTTACTCGAAAACTATAATAGATAGAATGAATTCCATATATGCATTTGAAAGCTGAATGTTTGTGGAATCCAGCAAGTATAGATACATTCTTGTGCTCTTATCCATATTGCTGTAATACGCGCTCAAATTTGAGCGTTTATTTACATTTTTATTGATATTTTCAATTACTTCTTTATGATATACCAATAAGAATGTAAAACTGATATGCATTCAATTTATCCATTTATTTGTATACAAATAAAGAATGTACCAATATTTGCTCCAAAATCGATCCATTTGTTGTGAGATAGTTCGGATTTCTCTTCTTCGAGGAATATTGAATGAAAGCAGCGGCGTATGTGAGATGTGTGGAATCAGAAGAAAGAAACTTGTTTTCAACCAAATTCAATCAGCCGAAATAAACAGTCGAAATTGATTCCCGTTTTCGATTTATCGCGAGCTCTCCCGTATTTATTCTCCTGCAAAATGTTGTTCCAACGAATGTAAACAAACGAGAAAAACAGAGAAAATAAAACATATTTGTTTAATTAATGAAGCGCAGAATCACATTCTTCCGTATGTATAAATGTAGATATTTTTTTAACAATCCTTTGGATATTTTATAAATCATTGCTTCTACTAAGTTTAATAGTTGATTAAGTAGAAAATTGGTGAATGGAATTGAGCAAAAAAAGTATGTTGATAGCTTGTAAATCTGCGAATTCGTTGACCGGCAAGGAAATGGAAATCTCCTGGTGTAAAGAGCAGGGGAATACAGAAATAGTTTGGCGTGCGTTCGGAGCCTTCATCATCCAGCAGTTCGCCGTAATTCCTCGTCGTGTTTAGTTTGGGTTAAGCCCGGCGCGTATGAGTGTGAAAAAGAGATCAACAACATAGAGAGATAGAGAAACAGCGCATAACACAAATACAAGAGAAACTTTCCAACTATGGTATAAAAACTGTTTGTTTTATCAGCCTTAACAAATGTTGACTCTAGCAATAGTTTACCGAAGCAATGAAGCTAATGAGTGCGTCGTCAATCTGTTTGCCTCCGCAAATTGAAAGACAATAAATTGGTTTGTTTCTGCTGCTGCTGCTGCATGGATGAGATAATTTGTTTATTTCTTTTCGTGGAGAATGTTCGGGCCGTTACAGATACACCGCTTCTTTTTTCTTGCAGAGGTTGACGGTGTCGAGGAGCGAAGGGTCGAGGATGCAGAAAGCCGGATCGATGCGGACGGTGTCCATCGAAGAGGAACCCTTTTAATGCGTCTGCATCAGGTAAAGTGTGCATTTCAACCATTACCGTTGAGGACTTGAAAGGTCCTTGTACCAAAGAAAAGAACGTGACTGAGACGTGACTCACGTCATCACTATTATTAGTCTTGAAGCCCTTAAATTTCCATGTTTCTTTACGCAAATATTAAAATAGTAGTAATTATTTACATGTTTAACTCATTGACTATTGCACGTTAATCAAGTTTATTTATATTACATAAAATTTTAAACTATTCTCTAGTTACATTCGCGTTACATTCGAGCAGTATTTCTTAAATAAATGCATGAATATTTAAAATCTTCATCTAAAAACTAAGTGGGATATGTTTCACCGTAGCTTTAATCTTCAGAACTTGCGCGAAACTTTATACACACGCAAAACTTACTATTTTTTTTTCATTACGTTTAAATTTATGGCTTCAACGTTCTTAAATACGGACGTGTTAATAATATTAATCATGAATATTCTTAAGAAATTATTTATAGAATTTAATCACGTTTTAGTTAACAGAAAAAAACTCAAAAAATTTCAAAAATAGACTATTTTTGGTTTTTTTCTTAGCGAATAATGGGTTCATTGGCGTGCCAAACCGTTTGTTCAAATGCCAAGGGCACAAAGGCATTTCCCGAGCCAAATAATGTTCGTAAATTTCGGCCAAATATTTATTAAAAGAATGATTGATTTTTTTTTGCTTTACTTTTATATTTTTGTACAAATTTCAGCGAATTTCTTTGAAACTAATATTATAGCTAATCCTATAAATAATTGAATTGAAAATTGTAATTATATACATAAAAAGTTAAGATTTATGATCAAAATTGATGATAAAAAGTTGTGATTTAGAAAATTGTAAGAAAGTTTTTGAATCTTCTCAAAAATAAAGTTTACTTCTTGGAAAGGTTGTAAGGAGGGTCGATTTAACGTCACACTTTGGTTGCAAATTAGTTCCAAAGTTTGAGCTTAAGATAACGCTCGTAAATAAACAGAATTTCGGCTGAATTGTTCTCGAGGTGAAGTTTACAAGATGCAAGAAAACTTTTTTTTTTGCTTTACACAAACAGAGCAACGATACAGATAAGATATTTGCGAAGTTGTCTTTGTTTTAGTAACTTTAGGGTGGAAATTTTCGTAACTTTGTCATAATAAACTCGAAAATTTTGATAAAGTCATTTCATTTTTATTAATTGTAAAATCAAATTGTAACTAACGAAGTGTTGTTTTCACGTAGAGGCCATTCATCTTTATTATTTTTCAAGTGCGAGAATAAATAATTCGCGGTGAAGTCGTAAATCTACGGTCGTTTCTTCTTCTTTCGCACGCGGTTCTTCGTATGCGGCGACAGAGACCGAGAGTATAAATCCGATGTGTTGTTTAACGCTGGAAAATAAAAATTATTACGGCGTCGCGACGCCGACGAAGATGCATTCCCAGCAGTCCAATTCGCCCCCACTCGTAAATCCGCACATACGCAGGTTTTATTTATTCCCAACTATGAGGTGTCATAACTTTACTGTTTTTTTTTGTTACATGACTTACGATCACGTGTCTCACAAATCCACACTCGTTTTTTTTACTGGCTACTGGCTTAAATCTGAAGAAGTGTTAAAAGCATTTCATTGTATCGTCTGAAAGCAATAGAAAACATTGCGTATACAATATTTTAAGGTCAAAACGCGCAAATAATTGCGAAACAACCCAAAGAAATTGTGCATTTTTTTCTTCTTTAATTAATTACTTGAAAATAGAACTAAATTACACAGTTTTTTTTTAAATATTCTACAAAGTTACAAATAAATGTGAGCACATGTGTAATTTGCGCAGATGAATTAATCAGAGTGCGGTGAATATGAAAATATGCACGAGCTTTCAGTTTTCAAAAAATTTCGCTCTGATTAAACCTGAAAGGGATTAATGCTTGCATTGATGTTAATATTCCCTTTTTTTAAACAGGAAAATCGCTTTGAAATGTTAACAAATTCGAGTTTTCAATCAAAAAAAAAATAATTTACTCTAGCATTCACTTCATTTTCTCATTGAAAAACTCACATAATGTATTAAATTAAATAAAATTAAATTTTTCAATAATCAAAATATTTAGATTTACATTTTTTTTTATGTAAAATAACTTTTAAAAACTTTTCTAATTATGAATTATTAATTAATTTTTTTTGTTTAATTTAGACTATAATGATTGTGAAACAGTTACTTAGTAGAATTCTGAAAAATAATACAATAAATTCGACTAAATTATTATTGAAATGGAAAACGTTTACAACTTTTTTTTTTAATTAAATTCAAAAGATTGATTGAAAATATTTAAAAGAACTTCAAACGATTCAATAACGGAGCGGAAGTGAGCAAGTCTGCTGTTAATACTGAAATTATACAATCTAATTGCTTTAATGTCAATATTGAGTTTCGTTTCCATTGAAGCATTCATCATTAAATGTGCGCTTCAACGAATCAATTTACCAACTCTGCTGACAATTTCACTCCAATTGCTGCAAATCCAAAGGAAAAAGAAGTCATAGTTTCAATATGATTGTGTGCAATGATTGAATATCGTTTTGTACGATCAATTTGATGTATTTAATTTGTATCGAATTTAGAGAATTAATTCTCTTAAATCTGAAGAAGTGTTAAAAGCTTTTCATTGTATCCTCTTGAAAGTCATAGAAAACATTACTTATACAATATTTTAAGGTCAAAATGTGCAAATAATTAAAAGGCAAAACGACCCAAAAATAGAACTAAATTCATTAAAAATTCCTAAATTACACAGTTTTTTTTAATTTTCTACAAAGTTACAAATAAATGTGAGCACATGTGTAATTTACGTAGATGAATTAATCAGAGTGTGGTGAATATGAAAATATGCACGAGCTTTCAGTTTTCAAAAAATTTCGCTCTGATTAAACCTGAAAGGGATTAATGCTTGCATTGATGTTAATATTCCCTTTTTTTACAGGGAAATTGCTTTGAAATGTTAACAAATTCGAGTTTTCAATCAAACAAAAATGTATTTGCTCTAGTATTCGCTCCAATTTTCTAATTGAAAAACTCACTTAAAGGATTTAAAATTGAATTATGGAAAAATCAAGTTCGTTTTTCAATAATCAAAATATTATTTAGCTAAAATAATTGAAAAAGAAAAGTTTCATTCACTAATTATGACTTATTAATGAAGTTTTTTGTTTCATTTAGTTTATAATGAATGTCAAATAGTTAGTTAGTTGAATACCGAAGAATAGTACAAAACATTCGACTAAATTATTATTGAAATGGAAAACGTTTACAACTTTTTTTTTTAATTAAACTCAGAAGATTGATTGAAGATATTTATAAGAACTTCAAACGATTCAATAACGGAGCGGAAGTGAGCAAGTCTGCTGTTAATACAGAAATTATACAGTCTAATTGCTTTAATGTCAATATTGAGTTTCGTTTCTATTGAAGCATTCATCATTAAATTTGCGCTTCAACGAATCAATTTCCCAACTCTGCTGACAATTTCACTCCGATTGCTGCAAAAGAAGTCATAGTTTCAATAAGATTACGTGCTGTAATTGAATTATATTCAATTTGATGTATTTGTATCGAATTTAGTGATTTAATTCAGATGCAGATTTTCGGACGTTTATGAAAATCTGAGCCGAATTTCGATTTAATTAATGTGTTCGTTGCATAATGCAATGATCCGACCGATGGAATTAACATTGACATGGATGTTTTATGCAGACATTTTAATGGACATTGTCGGTTTTGAACGATATCCGTTCCAGCGATTTAATTGCCATGCGCATTTTAATGAGAATCTGTTAGTTTAATTAAATAGAAACAGAAACAGATGCGAATGTAGATTTCATCTAATTATATTTAAATGTAATCTTTAAATAAGAAATTCACTGTTCCAACTATGAATGATTTTGTTGTTAGAATTTTTTCAAAGTTTTTCTTTCATTTTTACAATATATTTAAAGCGTAGTTTATTTTTAATATTTATGTTTAAATTCTGCTATTTTTATAAAGAAAACTTATAAATTACAGAGAAAATAATTAGCAAAGTTATCATTAAAAAATTGTATCAAAATAGTGAATTTTTACTATATTAACACATAAAATTAAAAATTAAACTAATTTGTATTAATTATCCAAACTTTATTTATAAATACGTCTACAATTTAAGTAGATTTAAGACATAAATTGGAATATTTTCGATCGTATAAAAGTAACAGTTTTATAGGAAATGATTGATGCGAATATAAAGAATTTCTTGATGTGAAGTGTGCTATTTATATATACAATTTGGACTTTGAATCGAAACGATTTTTCTTCAACTGAAATAACAAAATAAATAAAAGAAACTATTATTTTGGATGGCGTTGAAAGACGCGAAAGATTCTTCGGATCAAAAGGGATAAAAAAAAACCGACCTGTCACATCTAATTAAGTCTTGAGCAACGGAGCGAGACCGTAAAAATAGGAACAATTCTTCAGGAAAGAAAAAAGGTATTATAAATAGTCTCATTTCCGAAGAGAATATTGGTCTTTATTTAGACGGACGTTTACATACCGAATTTTACATACCAAAAATAAAGAAATCGTCTGTTTTTCGTTTCCTTATTTTTATATCGCTCCATTACCTATTTTCTCTCTAAAAGTATTTTAGTGAATTTCCCCAAGTAATCATTACCGTCGCTGTTTGCTTCCTCTTCGACGTATTTACATTCTTCCGAACGAATCTGCATTTTCACGAAGCGGTTTTCCGCATTCGTTTTCTTTCTCTTTTTCAATGGTATTCTCTCAGGACCTCAGCACATCAATTGTTTCAGTCCAGATCCTTTCGGTGGAAGCGCAGAGAAAACACGTGGAAAAGTAAACATCTCTCGGCGAAAGGAACAAAATCATTTTTTACTCTCCGCATCCTGACAACTTAAGTGCTTTAATTTAAAGCACTTTGAGCGCTATTTATTTATAAATCTAAATATTTAAGCTCGTGGCC